GGACGAACCCTATTGAGACAAACTGCTAGTCGGACTGCAAAAAATAGGTCCTGGTTATTACTCTCAAAGGAAAAAGCAATAAGCTTCTTGTTTATTAAACTTACAGCTTGGTGGAGGGCTGGCCCGTTAGCGGGCACGGTGCGGTAGGAACGCCCTTTGGGGCAGGGCTCTTTGGTGAGGTTTTCTTCCCTTGTTTAGGCGCCCCCGTTTCCAAGTCTTCAGAGGCGGCCCTCTTCTTCCCGCGGGGGGAGGAAACCTCAGATTCACCTCCCCGATTCTCCTCCTCCATGGAGACATTAATTCCCCCGGTTCGGATGCACAATGTGTGAGGCTCACTCTTGGCTTCTCCACTCTTCCCTTCATCTTCCTCCGATGGCACTTGATTATCGCCCGTTTAAGCATCTTGGCTATTGCTGGATCGGGCGAGCCTTCGGGAAGCGGGGGCCGGACACCTGATTCTCTTCGCCTTACTAAGCCAATCCTGGTCGTGGACACTTTTTCAGAACAATGTTATGACAAATATAAACAAAGTGTTCGGTCACAGGGTTACTTACTTGGGTATTTGGGCGGTTGCAGCTCAGGCCCACATCCTTGATGGTGTGCGTACACTTTATTCATGGTCCGAAGAACAACTTATACATTCCTTCAGGTGTCATGCCGAAGAAGTGCTGAATGGTTCGTGACCTTCCGGATTGAACTCCCACATCCGGAGAGGTCGACGTGTACACGACATGGCCCGCCGAACTAGCATTACCTGGATTATTTTTACAAGACTAATGTCCCTCCCGAGAAGCTCCCGAATGCGGCTCTGCAGCATCGGTACATCATTTGCAGGCCCCCAGTCCAGTCCCACATTGGCCCACGACGCCAGTTGAGGCGGAGGGCCCGAGCGGAAGGCGGGGGCGGCCGCCCACTTTGAGCCTCAGGGAGTTGTGACATAGAACCACCTCCGTTGCCATAGATCGGATACCTCGGGGAAGGAGCCTTCAGGCCACGGGGCATCGGCGTTCCTTCTTATTGTGGCGCCCCCACACTCTGCGTGCCGCCCCTCGGTCACCCTCAACTTCATATTGAAAGTCTTGAGCCACAAGCCAAAGTGTGGGGTGACATGGAGGAAGGCTTTGCACACGACAATAGACGATGAGATGTGAAGAATGGAGTCCGGAGCTAGATCTTGAAAATCTAGCCCATAATAGAACATGAGCCCTCTCACGAAGGGATCAAGATTCAAGCCCAAGCCCCAGAGGAAGTGAGAGACAAATACGACGCTCTCGTTGGGCTCGGGAGTAGGGGTAACCTGTCCAGGGGCGGGAAGCCTGTTCTTAACATCGGCAGTCAAATACCCGGCCTCCCTGAGCTTCGCGATATCCTCCTCTGTGACCGAGGAAGCCATCCACCAGCCTTGATGGTCGGATTCGGACATGATCGAAGATCCAAGGTGCTTGAGCTTGAGCTTTGGGTGTTGGAACTCAAAGTGCGGAAAGGCGCAAGCGTGAAGGTAAAAGGGATAGGCCTCAACCCCTCTATAAAGGGGGAAGAATATCAAGCGTCCTCGGCGTAACCGTTCGGGACTTGCCTAAAAACACGGAGTCATGCCAACAGGCACTGTTGGATTACCCATACCCGTATTGATGAGGACCCCATGATAAGAGGGACACGATCTCTGCTTCGGCAAGACGTGCCAAAGGAACCGCCTTGCAGTATGTGTGGAAGCAGGTTGTAGAAAATGGTTCGAATAATGACCGGGTCGTGGCGTGATGTCACGCTACGAAGAGTTGTCAGCAGATTAGATTCTTGGTCTATTATTCTCTCTACGGTGGTATATAAATTTTTCTTGCAGAGCCGGACACGGTCCTTGTGTTCGGAATTTATCTTGGAGTATTCGGAGATGGACCTGCCTCGCAATGCCGAAGACAATCTATGCGCCAGACTCATCGTCATTGAAGCCTGGTTCAGGGGCTACTGAGGGAGTCCTGGATAAGGGGGTACCCGGACAGCCGGACTATATACTTTGGCCGGACTGTTGGACTATGAAGATACAAGATTGAAGACTTCGTCCCGTGTCCGGATGGGACTCTCCTTTGCATGGAAGGCAAGCTTGGCGATCCGGATTATAGATCTCCTTCTCTATAACCGACTCTGTGTAACCCTAGCCTCCTCCGGTGTCTATATAAACCGGAGGGTTTAGTATGTAGGACAACAACAATCATACCATAGGCTAGGTTCTAGGGTTTAGCCTCTCTGATCTCGTGGTAGATCAACTCTTGTAATACTCATATCATCAAGATCAGTCAAGCAGGAAGTAGGGTATTACCTCCATCGAGAGGGCCCGAACCTGGGTAAACATCGTGTCCCCAGTCTCCTGTTACCATTAGCCTTAGACGCACAGTTCGGGACCCCCTACCCAAGATCCGCCCGTTTTGACACCGACAATGGGTTCAACAATGAGTGGTTGAGAGGCTGCAGCATGTTCTTTCTTTGAAGACTTAGTTCCCTTAGTCTTCAGCTTCTTATTAGTAGGAGCATTGTCAGATACGTCCTTGAGCTTGCGTTTCTTGGCTTCAACTTTAGCCGCTCTTGTCTTCTTCAGTTCAGAAGCTGCTGAGGGGACCTTAGGCTTCAAGCCTGTCATGCTGGCAGGGAAGACAATGCGAGGTTCCTTGGTGCAGTGTGGGTTTCAGCAGACTTCTCCTTCTTGGCAGCCATCCTAGGATCAATGCCAGGGCGCCCAAGAGCTTTCCTCTTTTCAGCTGCATTGTGGGCTTGGACACATTTCTCAGCAAGATACTTCATATGCTACCTTGAGCCTTTAGCTTCATTGCTTTTCTTGTGAAACTCCTCCTTGAGGTCATGCAACATCTTCTTGAAGATTTGAACATCAGCCACGCTGAGCTTGGCCATGTTCTTCTTGAAGTGAGCCTTCTCATAGTTAATCTTGTTCTTCAGCTCGACAATCTTCTGAGCCAAGGCCAGTTCACCAGCAATGGCACCATGGAAGGTGACGCTGATGTCCACAGGGAGCTGAAGATCATCAATACTGATGTCCTGGTTGTCGAACCACTCATCGATGAAGTTATTCAGAATATCAACATCAAAGAGGGGCAGATCATTGAAGATTTTCGCCTCTTGCTTGCTCTTGATAGGCATTTCCAGAGCATCATCACCAAGATCATCACTGGACAGATCAATGGCTTCTTCTTAATTGCATAGCACAGTGAAAGGTGTCAGTGGTTTCCCAGTGGCCTTCTTGGGCAATGGCTTCGTGGCCCTCTTGGACACGCGAGATAAATCTTCAGACTGCACACTAGATTCAGGCGGTGCAATCTTCAGAGGCTTCCTCATTGAAGCTTTTGGTGAAGAAGATGGCTTTGAAGCTTTTGCCTTCTTCTTCTTCTTTTCTTTGGGAGGTGAGGGAGCAGCTTCAGTGTCAGCATCACCATCAGATTGCTCCATTGTTGCTCTCTGAGCAGCAATGTGAGACAGAAGCCCATCAAAATTAGCAAAGGGGCCAATTCTGTTTTCATTGGCTTCACGTGTCCCATCATATCTAGGAGCAGAGGGTCAGGGTTGAAGTTGAGGCCATAGTCCTTTGCATTCTGGGTAGCTGAATCTTTGGCAAACTAATAGTTGCGCTTGAAGAGATTGTCGTCACGACACCATAATAAGGAATATGGGTCGGCATTTTCAGGCTGCGGTCCTCTGACCATGCAAGGATAGAATTCTTGCGCAATGGCTTCAGCCTTGTTCTTCGGCACCAAGCCGTGATACAGACAGTCTCCCCATGGGTGCTTGATGTCATTCTTCTCGGTGTATTCAGGCGTGACGAATCTGTATTTGAACCATTCCTCAGCCCAATATCTTCGGATCCACTGACTCCGGTTCTTGCGCTGGTTGTAGTTTTTGTCAGGGTCTGACTTGTATTGCTCATACAAGGCAGGAGGTAGATCAAGTGTAAGGATGGCAATGGGTAGGGTATGGGTAGGGTAGAGCAATACTATACCCATACCCATGTAGTCAATGGGTATAAAACTCTACCTATACCCGTACCCACGGGTATGAAACTTTACCCACACCCAAACCCGACGGGTACCCATACCCATTGGGTATCCAACGAGTAGATCAAATAGTATAAGTTATTCATACTTTTACATTCATCCATAGCACATTTGGCAACAAAAATATAATTATCTCAACTTAATAATAGATAGATCAATACATGAAAATTATCAAAATTATGAAATCACAATCTCATACGTATAAGTCAATGAGTGCAGACGTGTCACATGGCAAATGGAAAACTAATGAGAACAAAACATATTTTAACAAGCTCCAGGATACACTTCAGAAAATAACATCTGATAAGTAATAAATAAGAAACATCTGGAGCACCCATCAGCTAGCACAAATAGCAACTACGTCAGCCAACATCTCGCACAAACAACAGCTACATGAGCAACCAGCCAGCACACGTAGCAACCATCAGCTTCCAACCCAGCACAAACAGCAGTCGTATCTTCACTCCTGGGTGATGATTGAAGTAGACTCATCCTTCACATGAACAAGATGACACGACATATAAGTAAATTATTCAACTATAATCCAAAGATTTAAGAATAAAGCATTTAATTAATTTACCATCTGTTCTTCCTCATCCTCGAGAACACTTTGGAATGTAGCAAAGAGTGTAGAGTTCCAACCACCTGATGAAATAACCAACATTAGTATATAAATGTCAAGTTATTTTCAAAGTAAAAAAATAAGTGCAACTGAAAAAACTTATTACCTAACATATCTGCATGAGACCAAGCTTGCATGCACATGAGAGCTTCGGCCACATTAGGAGTAAGTCTACTACGATGTGCACTAAACACTCTTCCACTAGTGCTGAACGCACATTCGAAAGCCACAGATGTTATGGGAATAGGCAATATATCACAAGCTAGGTTTTGCAAGGTAGGAAACCTCGAGCCACTAACCTTCCACCAATTAATAATATCGAATTATTGTGTTCTATTTTTAAGAAAACTAGCTTCTTCCAAATACAAGTCCAATTCTGTATGGATTGATGAAGAAGGGACCATGGGGCGACTAGACAAATACATGTCATAGAGTTTCATGACTTCATCTTGTTCTCCAACTGGCTCCGTAATAGAAGCATCATGTGTATCCTCACCTTCAACTTCATCTTTATATTTCTTCACCAACTCAATCAATAACTTCTTTACCTTCTCTATTTCGGTGGTTGCATGCTCTCTTCCATAGAGGGGGCCATAAAGAGCATTGAGAATATGAAGTTTATACCTTGGATCAAGAACTGTTGCAACGGACATAAGACCATGGATATCTTTCCAATACTTCTCAAACTTATCCTTCATTTCCTCAGACATTTTTTGTATAAGCTCAATGTTACTCTTACCCCATTTTCTTATGGCTAAGCGAATGGTAATCACTTTAGGGAAAAAAGATTTGATGTGACATACTTGGTGCCTGAGAATGACTCGGTGATATCAAAGAAGAGCTTCAGCCTATCACATATTTCTTTTGCAAACTTCCAATCATCTTTGGTTGGGCAACACTTAAATTTCTTTTCCCGTGGCTTTAATTTTTCAAATATCTCCATGTACTGTAGTGCAATGCTAATCATGGTATAAGTTGAATTCCATCTAGTCTTACAATCAAGAGTTAACCTTTTTTAATACTCTATGTTCAAAGTTTTTGCCATCTTTTCAAACTTCTTGTGCGTTTTAGGTGTGGCTGACCAAAATGCAACACTATCACATAACCTCTCTATACCTTGCTCTAAGACACTCATTCCATCTTTCACAATTAATTTAAATATGTGAGCTGCACAACGCATATGCATTAATTGACCATCTGCTACGTCTTGAGCTAATGTTGGTTTTCCCCGAAGAGGAGAGGGTGATGCAGCAAGTGTAGCGTAAGTATTGCCCTCAGTTTTTGAGAACCAAGGTATCAATCCAGTAAGAGGCTCCTCAAAAGTCCCACACGCCTACACAAACAAACTGAGAACTCGCAACCAACGCAATAAAGGGGTTGTCAATCCCTTCACGGCCACTTGCGAAAGTGAGATATGATAGAGATAGTATGATAAGATAAATATATTTTTGGTATTTTATAATATAGATGAAAAAAGTAAAGATGCAAATAAAAGTAGATTGAAAGCAAATATGATAAGAGATAGACCCGGGGGTCATAGGTTTCACTAGAGGCTTCTCTCAAGAGCATAAGTATTACGGTGGGTGAACAAATTATTGTCGAGCAATTGATAGAAAAGCGAATAATTATGACGTTATCTAGGCATGATCATGTATATAGGCATCACGTCCATAACAAGTAGACCGACTCCTGCCTGCATCTACTACTATTACTCCACACATCGACCGCTATCCAGCATGCATCTAGAGTATTAAGTTCATAAGAACAGAGTAATGCATTAAGCAAGATGACATGATGTAGAGGGATAAACTCATGCAATATGATATAAACCCCATCTTGTTATCCTCGATGGCAACAATACAATACGTGTCTTGCAACCCTTTCTGTCACTGGGTAAGAACACCGCAAGATTAAACCCAAAGCTAAGCACTTCTCCCATGGCAAGAAAGATCAATCTAGTAGGCCAAACCAAACCGATAATTCGAAGAGACTTGCAAAGATAACTCAATCATACATAAAAGAATTCAGAGAAGATTCAATTAATATCCATAGATAAATCTGATCATAAACCCACAATTCATTGGATCTCGACAAACACACCGCAAAAAGAGATTACATCGAATAGATCTCCACAAGAGAGGGGGAGATCATTGTATTGAGATCCAAAAAGAGAGAAGAAACCATCTAGCTAATAACTATGGACCCGTAGGTCTGTGGTAAACTACTCACAACTCATAGGAGGGGCAAGGATGTTGATGTAGAGGCCCTCCATGGTCGATTCCCCCTCCGGCAGAGTGCCGACAAAGGCTCCAAGATGGGATCTCGCGGATACAGAAGGTTACGGTGGTGGAAATTGTGTTTTGTGGTGCCCCCGGATGTTTTCGGGGTCCGTAGGTATATATAGGAGGAATAAGTACGTCGGTGGACGCCCGAGGGGCCACGAGACAGGGGGCGCGCCCTACAAGGGGGGGGGGCGCCCTCCTATCTCGTGGAGGATCCGGTTGTTTCTTGACTTGCACTCCAAGCTCTCCGGATCTTGTTCGTTCCAAAAATCACGCTCCCGAAGGTTTCATTCCGTTTGGACTCCGTTTGATATTCCTTTTCTTCGAAATACTGAAATAGGCAAAAAAACAGCAATATGGGCTGGGCCTCCGGTTAGTAGGTTAGTCCCAAAAATGATATAAATGTATAAAATAAAGCCCATAAACATCCAAAACAGGTAATATAATAGCATGGAACAATCAAAAATTATAGATACGTTGGAGATGTATCAAGCATCCCCAAGCTTAATTCCTGCTCGTCCTCGAGTAGGTAAATGATAAAAAGAAGAATTTTTGATGTGGAATGCTACCTAGCATAATTCTCAATGTAATTTTCTTTAATGTGGCATGAATGTTCAGATCCAAATAATACAAAATAAAAGTTCATATTGACATAAGAAATAGTAATACTTCAAGCATACTAAGCAAAGTAATCATGTCTTCTTCAAAATAACATGGCCAAAGAAAGTTATCCCTACAAAATCATATAGTCTGGCTGTTGCTCTATCTTCATCACACAAAGTATTTAATCATGCACAACCCCGATGACGAGCCAAGCAATTGTTTCATACTTTAATAATCTCAAACTCTTTCAAATTTCACGCAATACATGAGCGTGAGCCATGGACATAGCACTATATGTGGAATAGAATGGTGGTTGTGGGGAAGACAAAAAAGGAGAAGATAGTCTCACATCAACTAGGCGTATCAACAGGCTATGGAGATGCCCATTAATAGATATCAATGTGAGTGAGTAGGGATTGCCATGCAACGGATGCACTAGAGCTATAAATATATGAAAGCTCAACAAAAGAAAACTAGTGGGTGTGCATCCAACTTGCTTGCTCACGAAGACCTAGGGCATTTTGAGGAAGCCCATCATTGGAATATACAAGCCAAGTTCTATAATGAAAAATTCCCACTAGTATATGAAAGTGACAACATATGAGACTCTCTATCATGAAGATCATGGTGCTATTTTGAAGCACAAGTGTGGAAAAAGAGGTAGTAGAATTGTCCCTTCTCTCTTTTTCTCTCATTCTTTTTTTTCTCTTCTTTTTTTTCTTTTTTTTCTTTTCTTTGGCCTTCTCTTTTTTTGGCCTTTCTCTTTTTTTTCTTTTTGTAAAGTCCGAAGTCTCATCCCGACTTGTGGGGGAATCATAGTCTTCATCATCCTTTCCTCACTAGGACAATGCTCTAATAATGGAGATCATCACAGTTTTATGGATTTACAACTCAAAAATTACAACTCAAAGCTAGAAAAAGATATGACTCTATGTGAATGCCTCCGGCGGTATACCGGGATATGCAATGAATCAAGAGCGACATGTATGAAGATTATGATGGTGGCTTTGCCACAAATACGATGTCAACTACATGATCATGCAAAGAGCAATATGACAATGATGAAACATGTCATAATAAACGGAACGGTGGAAAGTTGCATGGCAATATATCTCGGAATGGCTATGGAAATGCCATAATAGGTAGGTATGGTGGCTATTTTGAGGAAGGTATATGGTGGGTGTATGGTACCAGCGAAAGTTGCACGGTACAAGAGAGGCTAGCAATAATGGAAGGGTGAAAGGGTGCGTATAATCCATGGACTCAACATTAGTCAAAAGAACTCATATACTTGTTGTAAAAATTTAGAAGTCATCAAAAACCAAAGCACTACGCTCATGCTCCTAGGGGGATAGATTGGAAGGAAAAGACCATCGCTCGTCCCCGACTGCCACTCATAAGGAAGACATTCAATAAATAAAATTGTGCTCCAACTTCATCACAAAGCGGTTCACCATACGTGCATGCTACGAGAATCACAAACTTAAACACAAGCATTCTTTAAATTCATAATCACCCAACTAGCATGACTTTAATATCACTACCTCCATATCTCAAAACAATTATCAAGCATCAAATTGATGATAACATCCAATTCACTTTCTATGATAGTTTTTATTATACCCAACTTGGATGCTCATCATTCTAGGACCAAATTTGTAACCATAGCAAATACCATGCTGTTCTAAGAGACTCTCAAAAAAATATAAGTGAAGCATGAGAGACTAGCAATTTCTTCAAAATTAATCCACCACCATGCTCTAAAAGATATAAGTGAAGCACTAGAGCAAAAACTAACAAGCTCAAAAGATATAAGTGAAGCACATAGAGTATTCTAGAAAATTATAATCAAATAGGCTTCTCCCAAAAGGTGTGTACAGAAAGGATGATTGTGGTAAACTAACAAGCAAAGACCAATATAATACACGGCGCTCCAAGCAAAACACATATCATGTGGCGAATAAAAATATAGCTCCAAGTAAAGTTACCAATGAACGAAGACGGAAGAGGGGATGCCTTCCCGGGGCATCCCCAAGCTTAGGCTTTTGGCTATTCTTGAATATCTTGGGGTGCCTTGGGCATCCCCAAGCTTAGGCTCTTTCCACCCTTTATTCCATAGTCCATAAAAGCTTTACCCAAAACTTGAAAACTTCACAACACAAAACTCAACAGGAAATCTTATAAGCTCTGTTAGTGAAAGCAAACAAAACCACCACATAAGGTACTGTAATAAACTCATTCTTTATTTATTTTGGTGTTAAACCTACTGTATTCCAACTTCCTTATGGTTTATAAATTAATTTATTAGCCATAGATGCATTGAAATAAACAAACAACACACGAAAAACAGAACAGTCTGTAGCAATCTGTAACCAATGCAAACTTCTGGAACTCTAAAAATCCTACCAAAATAGGACGTACTGGAAAATTTGTTTATTGATCAGCAGCAAAAAGAATCAATGCAAAAGCACGTTTATGTGATTTATTGAATTTTTTTCTTGAGCGCAAAGTTTCTGTTTTTCAGCAGAATCAAATCAACCATCATCATAGTTTATCCTATAGGTTCTACTTGGCACAAACACTAAATAAAAGATAAAAACACATCTAAACAGAAAGTAGAAACAAAATTTAACACTAAACAGGAACAAAAACAAAGAACATAAAGAAAGTTGGGTTGCCTCCCAACTAGCGCTATCATTTAACGCCCCTAGCTAGGCATAAAAGCGAAGATAGATCTAACGAGTGCCATCTTTGGCACTTGATTCATAAGTAACAAGAGAGGATCTCCTTTCTATGGCATTCATCCTGCTATTCAGGGTAAGAAC